GTCATAGCCGTGTCACCAACAGAGACTACACTGCACAGCGTCATATACCCGGAGTAATGTTATGTATGGCGTCACAGCCGTGTCACCAACAGAGACTACACTGCACAGCGTCATATACGCGGAGTAATGTTGTGTATGATGTCACAGCCGTGTCACCAACAGAGACTACACTGCACAGCGTCATATACCCGGAGTAATGTCGTGTATGGCGTCACAGCCGTGTCACCATCAGAGACTACACTGCACAGCGTCATATACCCGGAGTAATGTCGTGTATGACGTCACAGCTGTGTCACCAACAAAGACTACACTGCACAGCGTCATATACCCGGAGTAATGTCGTGTATGACGTCACAGCCGTGTCACCAACAAAGACTACACTGCACAGCATTATATACCCGGAGTAATGTCGTGTATGGCGTCACAGCCGTGTCACCAACAGAGACTACACTGCACAGCGTCATATACCCGGAGTAATGTCGTGTATGACGTCACAGCCGTGTCACCAACAGAAACTACACTGCACAGCGTCATATACCCGGAGTAATACCGAGTATGACGTAACAGCTGTGTCAGCAAAAGTCTTAGAAATACACCGGAGACATTTCCTACAAGGTAACGTAGATTTTACTGGCTCTTCCTGTATACTCGTCAATCCTACAACCCTAGCAATTTACCCACACAGTTGGATACGATGAGCCACAGTCATGTCACAACCCCGGGGAACGATGACACAACTGGTATCAAGAAGCTAGTCCACTCCCACCACAAGCGTTGGTTGCTGTTTCAACCCCGGGGAACGATGACACAACTGGTATCAAGAAGCTAGTCCAATCCCACCACAAGCGTTGGTTGCTGTTTCAACCCCGGGGAACGATGACACAACTGGTATCAAGAAGCTAGTCCACTCCCACCACAAGCGTTGGTTGCTGTTTCAACCCCGGGGAACGATGACACAACTGGTATCAAGAAGCTAGTCCACTCCCACCACACGCGTTGGTTGCTGTCACAACCCCGGGGAACGATGACACAACTGGTATCAAGAAGCTAGTCCACTCCCACCACAAGCGTTGGTTGCTGTCACAACCCCGGGGACCGATGACACAACTGGTAGCAAGAAGCTAGTCCACTCCCACCACAAGCGTTGGTTGCTGTCACAACCCGGGGACCGATGACACAACTGGTATCAAAGCTGAGTCCACTCCCACCACAAGCGTTGGTTGCTGTCACAACCCGGGACCGATGACACAACTGGTATCAAGAAGCTAGTCCACTCCCACCACAAGCGTTGGTTGCTGTCACAACCCCGGGGAACGATGACACAACTGGTATCAAGAAGCTAGTCCACTCCCACCACAAGCGTTGGTTGCTGTCACAATCCCGGGGACCGATGACACAACTGGTATCAAGAAGCTAGTCTACTCCCAGACGAGAGGTTGTGAATCGTACAGTCACAGACGAGAGGTTGTGACACCATACAGTCACAGACGAGAGGCAGTGACACACTGTACAGTCACAGACGAGGGGCAGTGACACCGTACAGTCACAGACGAGGGGCCGTGACGCCATAGAGTCACAGACGAGGGGCAGTGACACCGTACAGTCACATACGAGGGGTTGTGAACCGTACAATCACAGACGAGGGGCAGTGACACCATACAGTCACAGACGAGGGGCAGTGACACGGTACAGTCACAGACGAGGGGCAGTGACACACTGTACAATCACAGACGAGGGACAGTGACACCGTACAGTCACAGACGAGGGGCAGTGACACCGTACAATCACAGACGAGAGGTTGTGAACCGTACAGTCACAGACGAGGGACAGTGAAACTGTACAGTCACAGACGAGGGGCACTGACACCATACAGTTACAGACGAGGGGCAGTGACACTGTACAGTCACAGACGAGGGGCAGTGACACCGTACAGTCACAGACCAGAGGTTGTGAACCGTACAGTCACAGACGATGGGTTGTGACAGAGTACAGTCACATAGGAGGGGTTGTGAAACATTACAGTCACAGAGGAGGAGCAAGGACACCGTACAGTCACAGACGAGGGGCAGTGACACCGTACAGTCACAGACGAGAGGTTGTGAACCTTACAGTCACAGACGAGGGGCAGTGACACAGTACAGTCACAAACGATGGGTTGTGACAGAGTACAGTCACAGACAAGGGGCAGTGAAACCGTACAGTCACAGACAACGGGCAGTGACACTGTACAGTCACAGACAAGTGGCAGTGACACTGTACAGTCATAGAGGAGGGGCCGTGACAATGTTGTGACAATGTACTGTCACAAATCAAGGGTCGTGACACCATACAATCACAGAGGAGGGGACGTGACACTGTACAGTCACAGAAGGGGGTCATGACACTGTACAGTCACCGACGACTCTTCGTGATACAGTTGAGTCGCAGAGGAGGTGCCTGGAATTCCATGTTCGAATCCCACATTCATGTATTCTGGTTTGCCAGCGCCATATATACCCATAGGTTTCACTGAAACACTCAAATCGTTTCAACATGCGTTGTCATGTTAAAGATAAAGATGAAGACCCAATGAAACTTCATAACTCTATCACATGAATAGGAGAAAAAGCATTCCAATACTGTCATTAACATTCTTTTTATTAGCATATGTTTGTTTGTAACACTTTAACATCATAATGCCATTTAATGAAAAATATTGTTAACATTATGTATTCCGAATAATATTCACTCTGGAATCTGCCTTCTTGTGACAGCATTTTCCATATTCACACGGATGACATTGGAGACCCACACCTGGACTGTCATATAGCTATCGAAAAGTGAAGGCCTTCAAGAGTTGAATAAATACTTTTTTCTGTTTTGGACCCGAAAATGATCAAACATGCCTATTTGTCACTTAAAGTAATCCAATACACCACAGGCTCTGCTGTCTTCCTCCGATGCAGTTACAGACCAGTTTGTATCAAAGTAATCGAGTATTTTTGTCTAATGCGCTTGTCAGTTGGACACAAACATAATACAATTTTCCCATACCAAAAAGTATATGTATAATATTACAAGTATGTGTAGTTTAACATCTGAATTCAATTAAAAGTAAGATTTGAGTATTATATTTTAAAATTTCAGCATACCGCATTACACAACTGCGCTTTGTATAATGGATTATACACTTGGACCCGGTAGTTACGCATTCATCAATACAGAGAGGTTCAATGTTGCTACCTAAACGTTTGCAGTTTAATAATAAAATCACATACTGTCATCTGACCATAGAATCAACAACCTTTATATTGTTGACCCTTAGTTAGAAGCCCCTCCACATGTTTAAAAGAACGAGGACACAGTTTATTGCTATGTGAGAACACAGAAAGAGGAGTTTGTTTCTTTACTTTATCAAGTCCAAATAATTTAAAAGATAAAATTATTATTTAATTCATTGTTAATTTAGCCAATTTAGATTTGAAGGTTCTGATGTGTATTGTATGATCAACAAGGAAATGTTTGCTGTTATAAAAGCAATATATACTAATGTGAGGTCATGTCTTCGCTAGCAGGGATGCTGAAACAGATCTGATTGTCCTTGGTTTCAAGACAAGGCTGTATTTTCAGTCCTATTGTTTTCAGTTTTTATTAATGAATTATATATATTGAAATAGCTTCAGATTGTAAACACAGTATCCAAAAGTTTCCTGACCTAATATAAGCTTTGACGTTACTTTTTGCAGGCGATGTCATTTTAGTGTCAAATCTATACTGTTGTTCTTAAATGACAACTAGATGTTCTAAATGCATGCACAAAAGAATGGAAATTACCAGTGAAACTGGAAAAAAAACTAAAATTGTGACCTTTTTGAAAAGGTGGTCCAATAGCGCTGAAAGAGTGAGTGAGTGAGTATGGTTTTATGCCGCTTTTAGCAATATTCTAGCAATATCACGGCGGCGGACACCAGAAATGAACTTCACACATTGTACCTATGTGGAGAATTGAACCTGGGTCTTTGGCGTGATGAGCCAACAATTTAACCACTAGGCTATCCCCAGCGCTGAAAGAAAGACGGTTAGTTGATGGAGAGTTAATCAGTGTAGTGGATCATTATTCATATTTAGGATTCTGTTTTTGACACAAAGTGAACTTGACAAATTGTACCCAACATTTATCATTGCATGCAAATAAAAGCTTTAATAAAGCTGAAATGTCTATTGTCCACAAAGTTAGAACCATGTCACCTAATATGTTCTTTAAGCTCTTTGATACCCAGATACAACCAATTATTAGTATTCGATTCTCTACACCAAAACGTATGGTTTACAGTGATTGTGGTATTACTGTTTGGAGAAAGTTTACATATTAGCATGTAAAATATTCCTTGTGTTCGATTCTCTACACCAAAACGTATGGTTTACGGTGATTGTGGTATTACTGTTTGAGAAGGTTTACATATTAGCATGTAAAATTTTCCTTGTGTTCGATTCTCTCCACCAAAACGTATGGTTTACGGTGATTGTGGTATTACTGTTAGAAGGTTTACATATTAATGTTGACCATGGCAATCAGGCTGTCCCCATATCACTTCTGTATTTGGCGGGAGATGTCGAGCTCAATCCTGGGCCCAGTAATACAGAGACAGATGATTTGAAGGCAGCAATAATTAAACAGATTAAAGAATCTGAGGACAGACTGTCTAAAAACATTAACGCCTTGAAGAAAGAAATTCATTCTATCAGGGAAGACGTATCGGGATTGTGGAGAGAGGTAGAGAACACAAAGGAAGAGCAAATTGTTCTACAAAGCTGATATCGATGCTTTGAATGCCAAAATGATGATTTCATGAGAATTATCGTCAGGATAGAAGATCTAGAAGTAAGTCGAACACCAAGAACGGCCAGAGTAGAAGGAATAGCAATTCTATACGGCATACCTGAGGGGTGAATCGAGTCCTACAAAGTGTGTAAAGAGAGTGACAGAAGTAATAAACAGTGCCAGAGATAAGAAAAGACAGGTCATTACAGTTACTCACACACAGAGATGTGGAAAAGAGCGCACAGAATGGGTTCGAAAATAAACGGTAAACATAGACCTCTTGATAAACTGACACACTGGGATGACAAAGATGCAAGTTATTAGGATGAGAGACTGTCTCCGAGGATATAGGGTATGGTGTGGCAAATGATATGACCGCCTACCAGCGGGAAGAACTGGGTAAGGTTAAGATCGGAAAGTCCCGACAAACATTTTTTACTATAAAGGAAATAGAATTTTGGAAAGTGCGAGGCGTCAGACCACATCTGATACACCAACTAGGTAGACGTGAAAGTAGTGAGAGACCAGATCTCAAGCACGGAGACCCGATCTGAAAGTCAGTCTCCTACTGGTTCCGACACACTGGGAATGGGTCTTGGAAATCAAACTGGAGAAGCGAGAGAGGAAAAGGGCAGAGAGGCTTGAATAGAAACATTAGTGAGACAGATAGGGATGATGATATGCCGATTGATGGAGTGGGAGAGTCGTTGAGAGTTAGTAGGAAAAAGAACCTGACATTAGAAAACTCCGTGAGAGGAATAGAACATGGAGAAAGAATAACAAGGAGAGATAGGTGTGGTCGGGGCCTATGTGATTCTACGGCACTTCGTTCAAACATTGTATTCATAGTTGTGTAAATACTTGTAAAAACTTTAATTTTGTATTCTGGAATGTGTCGGACTTTTATCAAAGCTTAAAGATCATGACTGTATTCAGTTTATATTATCACATGAAATCATCGGATTGACAGAAACATGGATGAAGAGCTCCGATCTGAAATCAGTTTTTGCTGACTATATCATTTATATGAAGGATGCTGAGAAAATATCTGCAGCTGGGAGACTGTCTGGAGGCATACTTGTACTTATCAAAAATACTTTATCCCAATACGTAAAATGTATTTAGGTGTTTGAAAACTGTATTTTTGTATTGTTTGATAAACTGCTGTTTGATATTAATAAGGATATATTATACACTTGTGTGTATGTACATCCCGAAGGATCATCGTGGTACAGTAATACAGAAATACAATGTAATACACCAATTCTCACGAAATGTGCACCATCAAATATGACAAACTGTTGAAAAGTCAACTTCAATATTTTATTTGTTAAATTAAGATGGTGCAAGTACACCATCCTAAGAGTTAACATGTGAATTTTCAGGACTCAAACTCTAAAAGTAAATTCTGTGTGGTCGGTTAAACTTGACCCCTCCTTTTTAACAATGTAATCTACGTTATGCACATAGATTACATACACATGCCAGTAGTTTCTGCAGATAGCAAGTACATACATGATGTTATATTGTTCATTACTGCCGGGAGTTAGGTGATATGAATAGTTGCGGTCAGTATGTGTTCTGTCATCAGAGATAGGACACAGCTTTCTTGAAAACAATAACTTGTGTTCTCAAGAACTTGTGTGCAAGGATAACATCACTTTCAATTCAATTAGCCCTAGCTTACATATATCTACCAAACAAACTTTTATATAAGGCTAAATACCAACATTGCCACAGAAACATTGTTTAAGAATCAAATACAGAATAATGAAGATAACAATTTGTCGACCATTCTGAAAATGTCTTGTAGATTACAACTATTAGTAACGAAAATTTCAGGTTTCTGAAATACAACGAGACAACACGAGGAACGTCTAATCGAGTAACTAACGAATCATACTGAAAAGAACAGCTACATGGCTCTATTTCAATATCCTGAAATTGTCAAATTAACTGCTTACGTGGAATGGTGTCGTAAATTACAACACATTTCTGAAACCCATGGTAATGTGTGCTTCATCATGCGCTGTTAGTTTGAAAGCGCGCCGATAACGACCAGTGGCAGAGGGCTGAACTGTACAAAGAATATCCTCAAATATCCCAGATTTCATCCGAACGTCTTGGCCATTTGAAATGACAATCACTGTCATCAGGGTCCACCTCTTTGACCACTCCAAGATACCAATTGCCTTGGTACACAGCAGCAATGAAGTCACCACTGGTAGGTACGACTGTGCGGGTTGATGTGTAGCAGAGGAGAACTTGCTTCTGCTCAGGATCAAAGTGTTCCAGATCTGCTGGATGTTCTGATGAAGATTCTGTCGACGATTCTGCTGTACGTTCTACCGGTGGTTCTACTGAAGGTTCTACACAAGGCTCTGGTGTAACAACATCCGGTCGAGGAGCAGTGGGCTTCAAGATAGAGGAGGCAACCAATCAGTGTGGTAATTACCATCCGGACACATGGAACAGTAGCAAGATGTGGTTCTTGCCATTATGTTTCCTTTGATGTTCCAATGATTGCATGAATCTTCATGGTTCCTTTCAAGGGACTGTATGGTCTTAGACAGTTCCTGAAGTTCCTCCTTGACAGCAGCAATCGTCACTGTTGACGAACAGATAGGAGCAGCTTTGTGGTTCTCCGTTCCCCATTTAAACAATTCCTCGGCATCTTGGATGACAGACTTCTTTGTCAACAGACAACTCTGCCAGTCTTGAAAACATTGATTTACGTTTCTCTATAGCTTCGGAATTTGAAGGAAATATCTAATTCTGCAATATTTGTAATCTTCGTTACCACTACTTTGAGACACTGTCTAGTGTAAATAAATGTCCTCTTTATACCGCATGTATGAAAAACATAAAAAACCCTTGCATAAAGGGCAAAACGAAAATCACATCCAAGGAACCTTCAACAATAATCTTTCAACAGTCTGGATGTAAGTTTGTTTCAAAAGTCCAGTCGTCTGTAATCACGTTACCATCAGTGTATTTGCTGCACATCCAATATTTCCAAAATATACGAGCAGGGGAAGGAATTTATGTATGAACAACATACTATGATGGTATACACATATACACTGATAAGTATACATACCTTTTCTTTGGTCGACAGTCAATCAGATAAGCACCTTCTGTCATTTGACGTTTTTCAAAGTCGTCTTCTTGACGTCAAAGTGCAATGGGCGCTCTAAACAGCGATTTTCACAAAGGGATGTAACTCCCATTTGTACAGGAAACATCCCAGCAATGCTTACCACCATAAAACAAGGACTTGGATACAAGGTCTTAAATGTGGTAACGAAAATTACATCACGAAAATTACACCTTGACTTTCTTTACCTTGTCATATTAAAATCATGTGTTACTTGACTCTAATCAGGCCATGAGGTTAATGTATATCTGTCGTCTATTCCATGTACAGGGTGGAGACATCGGCAGGCTGTGTAATATTGACAGCAGGACAGTCCCATAGATTACAGGGCTAAAACAAACCTTTCTTTGAGTAACTTTCGACACAATGACAAAAGAATAGCATCCGTAAGGGATGAAATTACTTCCTATAAATGAATTTGTTGAGCAATTTTCAGTTAGTTTGACCATTATTCAACAGTTTCTTTGTACATTGTACATGTTTAAAATTGAAAAAAAGAAATGTATCGAAGATTACAGAAAATTGGGGACAAAATGTCGACACAAATATTTTTTCTGTTATGGGCTGTTGTTATAAAGAGGTATATGCCCTTCGATGCCTGCAAGCACCGAAGGTCTTCATGATACAGTTTCCCCTGACCTACAGTGCATATAATGATTAAGTAGAATGGTTTTATTAGACCACCCCCATTGTGCGACAAGAGCAAAATGGGCAAAACGAGGTGTTTATACTGGTATGTATTGTACTAAACACCATATGTACACATGCTATCAGTTTGAATAAGTGGTTCTCCGTGTAACTTCGAGATAAAAGTCATAGAAAAACCCCAAGAAACCCCAAATATTCAACTTAATGCCTACGACAAGAAATTACACAATTGGTGCACATTTCGTGAGAATTGGTGAATAATGGCATCATTATCTTTCAAGAAAGATTATTTGATATTCTTATGAAGTACACTGACGTATATTTATGTATCGGTGGAGATTTTAACGCCAGAATTGGTACAAATTCTGATTTTATAGAGAATGATATTTTGAAGTACACAGAAGGTACCCATAAAAGATCATGTTAGCTTTTATCGGATGTTTCTACAATGAAAAGGTATTCAGTAGACAAATGTGTAAATCGTTTTGGAAAATGTTTACTTGATCTATGCGCAGTCTTAGACATTTATATAATGAATGGAAGATGTGATGGCGATCAGGGTGTGGGTGATTTTACATTCATTGGACATAATGTGGCAAGCTTGATTGATTATGTAATATGTTCCCCGGAGCTCTTTCAACACTGTGAAACGTTTAATGTACTTTCTCGTGCAGAATCATCGCACCTTCCACTTGTTTTATCTTTACAAGCTCCTCACGCTTGTGCTTGTGTTGGTTCGGACGAGGATAACTCAAATATATTTTTTACCAGGTTTATATGGGATACAGCTAAGAAACAATCATTCGTAGATAATTTACCTTCTGATACTGTACAAGGGATATTCGAAAAATCTCTCGTTGCTGCATTTACAAATATTAATGACAGTATAGATTACATGTGTAAAGGATTATGTACGGCAGCAGATGGAATGCAACGACGAATTGGTAATAAACGTAGAACTAGTAAACCGTGGTTTGACGCTGAATGTGAATTTAAAAGAAAAAAGGTGCAGGATTTTGAATAAATTCAGAAAGATATGAGAACCTGCTTCCCTCCACGAATACGTGGATGCTAGAAATAAGTATAATGCAGCTTGTAAAGTTAAAAAAGAACAATATCATGAACACAAACTTCGCTTATTAGAAGAGTCACTTGAAAATCCTAAACGTTTTTGGGAAGTAATAAAAAGTTTAAAACCAACTTTACAGAAAATACTATTCCAAGTCATGAGTGGTACGACCACTTCAAAACCGTATTTAATGTTTCAGACCCCGAGAAAGAAGATAATGGTAACGTGTTCAGGCCTTTCTTTGAGTTTATTATGAACAATGATGTTGCAGATGAAATTACAACTGATATTCTAGATGCACCAATTTCAGAGTTTGAAATAAGAGAAAGTATACGTCATCTGAAGAATGACAAATCTGCAGGAATAGACAATATTATTATAGTTTTTCAAGAACGCGGAAGATGTGCTTACGCCTTACCTACTAGTAATATTTAACATTATGCTCGAAAATGGAGCCTTCCCAGAAGCATGGGATACCGGTATTATAATTCCACTGTTTAAGGGTGGGGATCCAAAATTAGCAAATAATTACCCTTGGTATCACATTACTTAGTATTTTAGTAAAGTTTTCTTGTATATCATTAATAAAAGACTCGTTTTTCTGGGCTGATTCGAAAGATAAAATTCACGAATCACAAGCGGGCTTTAGAGAGGGCTACTCCACCACTGACAATATGTTTATTCTTCAAAGCCTTCTACAGCGTTATATCTCACGTAAAGGTGGTAAATTTTATGTTTTATTTGTAGATTTTGCTAAGGCATTCGACTCAGTTGATAGGAACAAATTATGGAAACTACTCACCCAGAACGGCTTGAGTAGCAAAATGGGAAAACTATTATGTAATATATATAACAATGTGAAAGCATGTGTGCGTAACAATGGTGTTATGTCATCAACATTTGATTGCAATATTGGTGTACGCCAAGGCTGTATACTAAGCCCATTTCTTTTCATTTTTTTTATAAATGAATTAGCGTCAGTTGTGTATCAAAATTGTACAGATGGTATTCAGTTGCACCCGGACATTGTTAAGGTATTTTTGTTATTGTTTGCTGATGATGTCATCATGTTCTCAAGTACAGTCTACAAAAACAAATTACCTTGCTGGAAAGCAATTACCTTGAATTTAAGCTTAATGTAAATGCAAATAAAACAAAGGTTGTTGTCTTTAAGAAAGGCCTTAAATTGTCCAAATCAGAAAAATGGCTTTATAACGGAGACTACTTAGAAGTTGTTAAAGGATATAAATATCTAGGGGTCCATTTTGCCAATACGTTATCATGGTATCATCTTAGAAATAGTGCTGCTTTACAGGGACGGAAGGTTTTTATGGGCATTTACAGTAATTTAAAGAAATTGGAAATGTAAATTTCAAAACATATTTCAAAAAATATTTGATACAAAATTAAACAAATTTTGCTATATGGGGGCAGGAGGTTTGGGGGTTTTCTCGGTTGGAAGCATTGGAAAAGGTTCACTTGTACGCGTGTAAAAAGTCTTAGGAGTTAAATTAAATACCCCAAATGTGATGATCTATGGTGAATGCGGTCGCTTCCCACTTTATCTAGAAGCACAGATAAAAGTTATCAAATACTGGGTAAAGCTCTTGAATATGCCTGCATCAGGATTTCCTAAGAAATGTTATAACATGATGTATTTGTTTGATACCAACGGAATATCAATTTGGGTAACGAATGGTAGAAATTTACTAAATCATTGTGGTTTTAGTGATGTATTTTTTGTCAAAAGATTACCTGCCCAAAGTCATTTTATAATGCTTTATCGCAAAGATTAAAAGATATGTACATTCAGACCTGGAACTCATCTTTAATACAGTCGCCCAAATCCACTTTTTACAGTACTTTTAAATCTTTTTTCCATACAGAGCAATACCTACACGATATCAATCTTAGAAAATTCCACGTTTCATTATCCAGATTTAGATGCTCTTCACATGATCTTATGATTGAGAAGGGCAGATATTATAATATTCCAAGAGATAACAGATTGTGCAAATTTTGTGCACTAAATGTAATTGAAGATGAATTCCACTTTTTGCTGGTATGTCCTTACTATGCTGATTTAAGGACAAAATATGTACCACAATATTGCTATTCACATCCTACCATGTTTAAATTTAATTTGATAATGAACTCTAATAATACAACTTATATTCGTAAACTTGGGATGTATATCCACCATGCTTTTGAACAAAGAAAATAACGTTTGCAAACATTGTGATTGTATGCCATTATTGTTTTTATATTTTGTACTATAGGCCTGTGGCCTCTTCAGTAATGGAATAAAGAGATTTGATATTAGCATGGAAAATATTCCTTGTGTTCGATTCTCTACACCAAAACGTATGGTTTACAGTGATTGTGGTATTACTGTTAGAAGGTTTACATATTAGCATGGAAAATATTCCTTTGTGTTCGATTCTTCATGACCTTTCTCCAACCAGTAATTCATTTATCAATACTCACGGAAGATTTAAGGAAACATTTTATTAGATATCGGTTTGGTTTTTTAGACCTATCTTTAAATGAAGGAAGAAAACTTTAAATTGAAAAATCGAAACGAATCTGTCAGTTATGTGATGTAGAAACAGAAATGAATTCACTTTGTGTTTGTCTGTCCACATTACAGTGACGTTCTAACGAAACACATTAAATATTATCTCATACAGATGCAACCGATGAAAGCTTTCGTACACATGTATATTCTAACTACTAAGAACGAATCTTATATATTAAATCTTTCACTATATATTAAACATTCACTAGCCAAAAGAAATGAACTGTTTAAAGAATGTGTACCTTCCTGTTTGTAGCATTATGATTATCTGTATATATGCATGGATGTAAAATACTCTCTTGTATATATGTCCGGAGGCCTTTTGTACAACAAATGTTTCAATCATTAAAGCACAATGAACACCCCCAATTCGACATCGATTGTCACAATGTCTTCCAACAAAATCCCTGAACTAAAGGGATACACATTCTGGCTCAATATTCCATAATACAGAAATCTGATTAATTGAGAAGGTTTCATTAGAAGTGATGCAGTCTTTATAACTGGTGTTTCACTCTGGAGAGACTTGGACATTCAGTGTGAATTCATTAAATCGAATATATAAATGGGAGATCATATCCTGCCATCTTCTCAGAGTAGACCTTGTCAAATTCCTCGTTCTGTGCCACCGTGTACCAGTTCTTCCAGTCCCCAACACCACCTGATTATAGGAGAAGTACAAAACATAACCATACGTCTGTGACCAGAACATAGTGGGTTATACATGTTCCATAGCTACCTCATACATCTTCTATCACACTTACTGCACCATATGGACATGCCCAGCCCGTTCTGAGTTTCTTTGGATTGTTAACGCCACACAGCTGTTCGTGGGCTTCCTATAGCTGATGCAACTATAAAAGGTACATCACCTGGCGTCATCTCAGATGACGTGATGTAAATTTAATACTTTCAAGGCGGCGAGGAAATAAAGAGACAACATTTCCAGTTTGTCTGTAGTCAGTGTAAACCAGTCACCTTGTCTCATGCCCATAGCGCCTCACATAGGATATTCGGTCCAGTTTCATCAACACATTGGTGTCTGTAACAACATGGATGTAGTCAACATGTCAGTGTCTGTAAAAACATGGATGTAGTCAATACGTCAGTGTCTGTAACAACATGGATGTAGTCAACACGTCAGTGTCGGTAACAACATGGATATAGTCAACACGTCAGTGTCTGTACCAACATGGATATTGTCAACATGTCAGTGTCGGTAACAATATGGATGTTGTCAACACGTCAGTGTCTGTAACAACATGGATATTGTCAACACGTCAGTGTCTGTAACAACATGGATATTGTCAACATGTCAGTGTCGGTAACAACATGGAATTGTCAACACGTCAGTGTCTGTAACAACATGGATGTAGTCAACACGTCAGTGTCTGTAACAACATGGATGTAGTCAATACGTCAGTGTCTGTAACAACATAGATGTAGTCAACACGTCAGTGTCTGTAACAACATGGATGTAGTCAATACGTCAGTGTCTGTAACAACATGGATGTAGTCAACACGTCAGTGTCTGTAACAACATGGATGTAGTCAATACGTCAGTGTCTGTAACAACATGGATGTAGTCAATACGTCAGTGTCTGTAACAACATGGATGTAGTCAACACGTCAGTGTCGGTAACAACATGGATGTAGTCAACATGTCAGTGTCGGTAACAACATGGATGTTGTCAACACGTCAGCGTCTGTAACAACATGGATATTGTCAACACGTCAGTGTCTGTAACAACATGGATGTAGTCAACACGTTGGTGTCGGTAACAACATGGATGTAGTCAATACGTCAGTGTCGGTAACAACATGGATGTAGTCAACACGTTGGTGTCTGTAACAACATGGATATTGTCAACACGTCAGTGTCTGTAACAACATGGATGTAGTCAACACGTTGGTGTCGGTAACAACATGGATGTAGTCAATACGTCAGTGTCGGTAACAACATGGATGTAGTCAACACGTTGGTGTCTGTAACAACATGGATGTAGTCAACACGTCAGTGTCTGTAACAACATGGATGTAGTCAATACGTCAGTGTCGGTAACAACATGGATGTAGTCAACACGTCAGTGTCGGTAACAACATGGATGTAGTCAACATGTCGGTGTCTGTAACAACATGGATGTTGTCAACATGTCGGTGTCTGTAACAACATGGATGTAGTCAACACGTCGGTGTCTGTAACAACATGGATTTAGTAAACACGTCAGTGTCGGTAACAACATGGATGTAGTCAACAGGAGAGTGTCTGTAACAACATGGATGTAGTCAACAGGAGAGTGCCTGTAACAACATGGATGTAGTGAACAGGACAGTGTCTGTAACAACATGGATGTAGTCAACAGGACAGTGTCTGTAACAACATCGGCGCAGTCAACGCAGTTGTGGCGGTGTGTGTCCTGTGCAGAGAGCTGCCGTGTTTGGCAGCTTGACTCCTGAGCGTTTCTTCGACTTCAGTCATGACTCCACGACGAAGCACATGTGATACATGTGGTCTCACTTTAGGCAAAGGAGTGTGTTGAAAATTGCCTCTGTTTACCCAGCAGAAAATGGGTACTCGGTGGAATAAGTTATGTGGTTATAACCTTCTAGCGCCTAATAGGCAGCTTGAGTTGTCCGGGGTAATAATGTGCTGTGCTATTGATTGTTAGCGTTATGAACATACCTAGTGTGCAGTTTGGCGCTATATAAATGGATACATTATTATAACATTTACTAGTTCATTAACATGACTCGTCTGTAATGACACGCATGTCGTCAGTATCAATGTCAGCAGTAGTAATACATGTAATAGCAGTGAGACATATCGTTGAGAGCAGTCCCCGTCACCTCGTCCTTCAGTACCTGGTGTTGCTGTGAGAACGTCCTCAGAAGAGCTTAAAAGTCGCGAGATGAAATAGAAAATCAGTGTAGTGATTTGATAATAGTCGTTATGTCATCTGACTTCGATTCGGTTAATTTCAAAGCTCATATTCATGGATCTATGAATAACATACTCTTAAAGGACAAGAACCCGGTGTTCAAACTGTGAGGAACACAAAAACTGTGTTGGCCTCAGTTGAACAAATACTGTTCAGAATGCGACTATATCGCCAGCTTTCAGTATGCTCTGTACCGAACATTTGCTGATACGCACTACAGTAAACAATATGATATCTTGGCTTACAGGAATAACCTTCAAAGGTTAGCCTCGGAAACGTTGATGGTTATGGTATGCTACTGGATTATGCAGTTTTTAACCATATGCTACAATCATACGCAAAATGTGGTCAAAATGTATCTGATGTCTGAATCAAGGTGTGTGAATGAACGTGGGGCCAAGAAATAATGAATAGATCTCAAAAGCATAACCAAGAACACATTTGTGACACGTGAGCAGATCTCTGAGACAGCAGCGGCCGTGGGATCATGTACCTTCTAATGAGTATTGGAGAAACGTGCTTTTTATTTTTATAGTCACAAGCAATAGTGTTCTGGAATCACCTTGGTTATCTGACGTGTTGCACAACTTTCCAAAAGTGTATTCAGTGTTTCACTGCTAAGTTTCCTTTGCAAAAAAAAGAAGCCGTTTTCAGAAGAATGTATTGCGTTAGCTGAAGAGCAATCATGACATGCAATTTCAATGATAAAAAAGTGAAAATTCACACGTCTATAGACTAAGTTTTCGCCAACGCCATCAACCTTAATGGTTGTGTTTCTGTTTACGTAAGTCCACCAGTCTTCCTGCAATGTGATGGCCTAATGCGGAAGTGTCTGGGGCGTGTTTTGACGTTTATGTACATGTCAATCGAGTTCATCCCATATGTGTTCTATCGGGTTAAGGTCTGGTAATCGGGAAGACCATGGCAAGACATTGACGTTAGAATATGCAAAGTAGCAGACCATGATGCTTGCTGACCACTAAGTCAAATCTTTGTGTGCTGGATATCTTACTCCACATCATGACGCTTCCTTCACTGATTCTGTCAACCTGTCTAATGCAATTAGGGTCAAAATGCTCATCTCAACGACGGTTAACGCGCTGTCTTCCATCTCGCCGCTAAAGAAGAAATTGCGATACATCACCGAACCAGACTCACCTTCACTTTCTACAGGTCCAGTTCCGGACTCTATGACAAGCGACTGCGCCGATGGAAGTCTCTCAACACAATGGCGACAACTGGCCTTCTTGGCCGAATCCCAACTTCAGTTTGGTCCCAAATTCCTCTCAAACCAGGTTGTGCAGTCCCCAGACGATGACTGCGACTCCCCAGCTTGAAGGCGGCCTATGGCGATGTTTAAAAAGCTGAACAATGTAACGTTATCTAAACCGCCTTCATCTGGGAGCATTTCACTCATGAATGTTCTGCCAAGAATAAATAGGAGGATATCTGTGATTTGATTCACGGCAAAGACATTCTAATTATGACCGAATGTCGGGGATTGGTGATGAATCCTCAATTGCTGCCTTACCTCTCCCTGGTTACAGTCTCATACACAATCCACGCCCATCACGTGGCGGAGGCGTGGCCATCATCTACAAGTCATGCTTTCATATGAAAGTAAGGCAATATCCTAGCTCGTCCTGTGAATCCTTTGAATCCCTGGATTTTGTCTTCAGGAAAGACATCAACAAATGTAATACCTACATACAGGCCACCTCCATCAAAGGAAAACAATCTCACTTTGGCTCAGTTTTTCACTCTTCTGGAAATTAAAATTACAGAAATATCCAGATTCATTCTTACTGGCGACTTCAATGTGCACTTTGACAATATGGCCAAGTGTGAAACCATCAGGACTCATGACTGGGCTGTGTGCAGCTGCTGAATACCCCAGCCCGTGCCAGGGGTCACATCCGTAACTGGGTGATGACCCGTTAACATGAATGTCTCGCAAAGAACATTTCTGTGATCGACAATTACACAAAGATGACGCTTTGGAAAGAAATAGTATATTTGCATTGTTTTTGCTGCTGCTACAAGAGTCCAATATTCTCAAAATCACCTCTGCATTCTTTTTTTTATGAAGAGTGTAACTCGGCATTTTTTAAGAGTTTATCTGGGCAGTTTTTGTGCACAATTTGCACTATGGTTTATGGAACTCGCAGTTAGGTATCGATTGGGAGAAAAGCATTCAGAACACTGGTGAAAGACACTGCCTAAAACTTCAATCCGACATGGCTACCGAACGTTGCCCTTTAGCCACATTCATATCCAGTCGAAACAAGCAATCACCTATTTGTGGTACAGCAACGTGTAGTGAAATTGGACAAAGTACTGTGACTTTGTGACCCAGTCCACCTAAGAGAGTGAGTACCTCGTAAAGATGGGAAACCACATTAACTTGGTGCACCTAATTACTGTAAGAGTTGTATGATCCCCAGGGAGTTGAGATTGAAAATATGATGTGCCGTGAGATTGCCATCCAAAGACCGAGGGAAAATCAAAGCGGCTTTGAGCTAATAAATACCACTACACTCTTAAAAACAGAAACACATTAAACAGTGGAAGGAGATAAAGTCACAGGATCTGGTCAATGGAGGTATTTGCTGGAAAATTGCCTCAAACTAACTCTAGGATTTCCTTGCAACTCACGCACACGACTTCGGATGGTTTGGTCAGAAATGATGTCCTGCATTGTCCGTTGCTCTAGCAAATCGGAGACGTAGGTGAAATACCCGGATGAAACGGTCTTGAGCAGAAGTGTTCACTCTTGGCCTTCCACTTCTGGGATGACTGATGCCATAATGTGGTGGACGCTGAAGTGTATTGCATTTACATTGAAGTGATGAATTTGGTTTGGCCTTTCATACTCGACGTCTCTACTCATGTTAACGACACATTGCACGTGCATTACGTGGAAAACTTTTTTTCTGCATGCACTTTTGACATATCGTTCTCATTTTTCTTATGACAAACGTTTACAAACACATTCTGGGATGCTTTTGCTGGCAATACTCAACAACCGCGATATGATTGGTCACATATATGAAATATTAACTCACCAGAGTCTTGATAACCACAGTGAGATCAGATATTATACATGGAGCTTGTTTACAAATGAAAGCAGTCAGGCACGAAGTGTCAGGGTCAGACGATGTTGACGAAGGACGATGGTAACTCCTGTGATATCGTTGGTTCCGTGTAATTCCCTGTCTTAATCCGTGTGTCAGTCCTTGTGTTGATTCTCGAACTTTCCAGCAAAGCATGGCTGTATCATTAACCACTTAAATCTTTCTCGAAACATGTTGAACATACGACCGTGAGTCAAAGCATGAACATCCGATCAAGGGAGGTAACTCTGGAGCGCTTTCTCAAAAGGCGTACCGCTAAAATACTATTGCCATTGAACATATGACACGAAATGTGACCCACAACCAACACTCAAAACTTTAAACATTGTGACACATAATTATTATCATCTAAACAATGTTATTACAAACCACAAAAACACACTCTCGTAACACAAAACTGATTATTTAAATTTTATTTTGAAGTGTCTGACCTTCGGCATTGCGCCGAGAACCTTAACATGTTTGTGGCAACTGCTTGAGGGCCAGTAGCTCCTTTGTGATGTTTAATTCTGACCAATGGTAGTGGTTGTGTTTGAAAAAAAAACCCATCGGAATAACAACAAAAATAATAAATAATAATGCCTCTCTTTACTGCACGCAATATTTTAATTTGTAAACAATAATGATAAATCGAACAGTTAAATGGGTATCCTGCCTTTCAGGTGTGGAACACTAATAACCTGATACCTGAGACACATCAGCTCCTCTACTCACGAGTAACTCTACCACGTCTTTATGTCCATATTTTGCTGCTACCATCACTGGTGTCATCCTCTACTGTTGATGTCGTCCCTTACAGGCCCAATGAAGGATGTTGCTACCGTCGTCACATACGAGTGACAAATTGGCTCCATTCTCTACGAGTAGCTCGACCAATTCTTTATATACCGTTTCTGCTGCTATCATCACTGGTGTCTTCTTCTTCCATCCTCTACTGTTGATGTCCACAATATTCTGTGAAAGGACATACTTAACCACCGCAATATGTCCTTCCCTACAGGCCAAGTGAAGGATGTTGTTACCGTCGTCACATACGAGTGACAAATTGGCTCCATTCTCTACGAGTACCTGGACCAATTCTTTATATACCGTTTCTGCTGCTATCATCACTGGTGTCTTCTTCTTCCATCCTCTACTGTTGATGTCCACAATATTCTGTGAAAGGACATACTTAACCACCGCAATATGTCCTTCCCTACAGGCCAAGTGAAGGATGTTGTTACCGTCTTTACATACGAGTGACAAATTTGCTCCATTCTCTGCGAGTACCTGGACCAATTCTTTATATCCCGTTTCTGCTGCTATCGTCACTGGTGTCTTTTTCTTCCATCCTCTACTGTTGATGTCCACAATATTCTGTGAAAGGACATCCTTAACCACCGCAATATGTCCTTCCCTACAGGCCAAGTGAAGGATGTTGCTACCGTCGTCACATACGAGTGACAAATTGGCTCCATTCTCTACGAGTACCTGGACCAGTTCTTTATATCCCTTTTCTGCTGCTATCATCACTGGTGTCTTCTTCTTCCATCCTCTACTGTTGATGTCCACAATATTCTGTGAAAGGACATACTTAACCACCGCAATATGTCCTTCCCTACAGGCCAAGTGAAGGATGTTGTTACCGTCTTTACATACGAGTGACAAATTGGCTCCATTCTCTACGAGTACCTGGACCAATTCTTTATATCCCGTTTCTGCTGCTACCATCACTGGTGTCTTCTTCTTCCATCCTCTACTGTTGATGTCCACAATATTCTGTGAAAGGACATACTTAACCACCGCAATATGTCCTTCCCTACAGGCCAAGTGAAGGATGTTGTTACCGTCTTTACATACGAGTGACAAATTTGCTCCATTCTCTACGAGTACCTGGACCAATTCTTTATATCCCGTTTCTGCTGCTATCATCACTGGTGTCTTCTTCTTCCATCCTCTACTGTTGATGTCCACAATATTCTGTGAAAGGACATCCTTAACCACCGCAATATTTCCTTCCCTACAGGCCAAGTGAAGGATGTTGTTACCGTCGTCACATACGAGTGACAAATTTGCTCCATTCTCTACAAGTACCTGGACCAATCCTTTATATCCCCTTTCACCTGCTATCATCACTGATGTCTTCTTCTTCCATCCTCTACTGTTGATGTCCACAGCATTCAGCGAAAGGACATACTTAACCATCTCAAGATGTCCTCCCTTACAGGCCAAGTGAAGGATGTTGCTACCGTCGTCACATACGAGTGACAATTTGGCTCCATTCTCTACAAGTACCTCGACCAATTCTGTATGTCCCCTATCCGCTGCTACCATCACTGGTGTCTTCTTCCACCTTCTACTGTTGATGTCCACAATATTCTGTGAAAGGACATACTTAACCACCTCCATATTTCCTTCCCAACAGGCAGAGTGAAGCATGGTTTTATGGTTGTAGTATTTTAGTGACCCATCAGCTGTTTTACTCACGAGTAACTCCACCACTTCTTTATGGCCGCAGTGTCTTGCCACCATGATTGGTGTCATCTTCTTTGATCCTCTTCTGTCGATATCAACCCTATTCTTTGAGAGGATATACTTCACCACCTCCACATCTCCACCACGACAGGCACAGTGAAGGACGTTGTCACCGGTTTCATCAACAAGTGACACGCTAGCTTCTTTGTCCACAAGCAGCTCCACCACGTCTTTGTGTCCGTGCTCTGCTGCCAGCATCACAGCTGTTCTCCCGCACTGTACTCTACTGTTGATGTCCAACATGTTCTGTGAAAGGACATACTTCACCACCTCTACATCTCCTCCCAGGCAGGCAGAGTGAAGGGTGTTGATGTCGAATCTATCGACGAGTGAAATGTTAGCCCCTTTGCTTACGAGTAACTTCACCACTTCTCTATGTCCTTTACCTGCTGCCCTCATCACCGGTGTTCTACCAATACAATCTTTACAGTTCATGTCCAATCGTCCTTGAGACAAGATGAGTTTCACCTTTGGCAGATTCCCAGACTTTGAGGCACGGAGAAGCTCACAGGACAAGGATGCTGTAACACAGATGTTTACTCAATATATTTCTTAGACAACATTATGAGACAAACATGACTGGGATTGAAGGACAACATATTGTGAGGACATATAGATCGGTTCTTCATCATTTTGTACTTTTGACATCGTTAGGTAATGTTTTTAAGGAATTAACTACAGATTACGAATATATATTGATTGGTTGACCTGTCCTTAGAAAGCATATGTAAGCCAGATAGAACAAGTATATATGGATGACAACCTGTTTAATTCTACAGCACGACGTTTCGATACAGGTTCTTGTATCGTTTTCATGTATGAATGACTGTATCTAAACGTCGTGGTCAAGAATTAAAGAAGTTGTCATCCATATATGCTTGTTTTATCTGCCTCCCAACTTCTAAAATGCCACTCAAAGAAGTCATATGTAAACCACATGACAAAATGGTGATCTGCAGGTGATACAGAGAGCTGAATAGGACCCAGTAGAGTCATTAGGATACGACAATTCAGGAACAAGACCCATTAGAATCATTAGAATAAGACAATTGAGTAACAGGACCCTGTAGAGTCACTAGGATAAGACAATTCAGTAACATGACCCAGTAGAATCATTAGGATACGACAATTCAGAAACATGACCCAGTAGAATCATTAGGATACGACAATTCAGTAACATGATCCAGTAGAATCATTAGGATAAGACAATTCAGTAACATGACCCGGTAGAGTCATTAGCATACGACAATTCAGTAACATAACCCAGTAGAATCATTAGGATAAGACAATTCAGTAACATGACCCAGTAGAGTCACTAGCATACGACAATTCAGTAACATGACTCAGTAGAGTCACTAGGATACGACAATTCAGTAACATGGCCCTGTAGAATCATTAGGATACGACAATTCAGTAACATGACCCAGTAGAGTCATTAGGATACAACAATTCAGTAACATGACCCAGTAGAGTCACTAGCATACGACAATTCAGTAACATGACCCTGTAGAATCATTAGGATACGACAATTCAGTAACATGACCCAGTAGAATCATTAGGATACGACAATTCAGTAACATGACCAAGTAGAATCATTAGGATAAGACAATTCATTAACATGGCCCAGTAGAATCATTAGGATGAGACAATTCAGTAACATGACCCCGACCGCCTCCGTGGTGTAGTGGTTAGAGCGTCCGCCCGGAGAGGGGAAGGTCGCGGGTTCGATCCCCGACCGCGTCATACCAAAAGACGTTAAAATATGGTACTTGTTGGTCCCTGCCTGGCGATCGGCATTTATGGGTACAACAAGGACTGGTCGGCTCGGAGTCAGTATAATGAGTCTGAATGGGGTATTCATGCTTCACTGCGGCATGGTATCTCAGTGGGCTAGCACTATAAAACCAGCTTCAGTCTGGACTAGTACAAGCAGCCGCATATACACATACACACGCATGCACGTCGTCATATGAGCGAAATATTCTCAAGCACGACGTAAAACCGAATTTCACCTCACCAGCAACATGACCCAGTAGAATCATTAGGATAAGACAATCAGTAACATGACCCAGTAGAATCATTACGATGGGACAATTCAGTAACATGACCCAGTAGATTCACTAGGATAGGACAATTGAGTAACATAGGCAAGTAGAGTCTATAGGATACGACAATTCAGTAACATGACCCAGTAGAATCATTAGGATAAGACAATTCAGTAACATGACCCAGTAGAATCATTAGGATACGACAATTCAGTAACATCACCCAGTAGAGTCATGAGAATAAGACAATTCAGTAACATGACCCAGTAGAATCATTAGGATAAGACAATTCAGTAACATGACCCAGTAGAGTCACTAGGATACGACAATTCAGTAACATGACCCAGTAGAATCATTAGGATAAGACAATTCAGTAACATAACCCAGTAGAATCATTAGGATACGATAATTCAGTAACATGACCCAGTAGAGTCACTAGGATACGACAATTCAGTAACATGATCCAGTAGAATCATTAGGATAAGACAATTCAGTAACATGACCCAGTAGAGTCACTAGGATAAGACAATTCAGTAACATGACCCAATAGAGTCACTAGGATACGGCAATTCAGTAACATGACACAGTAGAATCATTAGGATAAGACAATTCAGTAACATGACCCTGTAGAATGCCTAGGATACGACAATTAAGCAACATGACCCAGTAGAATCATTAGGATACGACAATTCAGAAACATGACCCAGTAGAATCATTAGGATAAGACAATTCAGTAACATGGCCCAGTAGAGTCACTAGGATACGACAATTCAGTAACATGACTCAGTAGAGTCATTAGGATACGACAATTCAGTAACATGACCCAGTAGAATCAGTAGGATAAGACAATTCATTAACATGGCCCAGTAGAATCATTAGGATGAGACAATTCAGTAACATGACCCCGACCGCCTCCGTGGTGTAGTGGTTAGAGCGTCCGCCCGGAGAGAGGAAGGTCGCGGGTTCGATCCCCGACCGCGTCATACCAAAAGACGTTCAAATATGGTACTTGTTGGTCCCTGCCTGGCGATCGGCATTTATGGGTACAACAAGGACTGGTCGGCTCGGAGTCAGTATAATGAGTCTGAATGGGGTATTCATGCTTCACTGCGGCATGGTATCTCAGTGGGCTAGCACTATAAAACCAGCTTCAGTCTGGACTAGTACAAGCAGCCGCATATACACATACACACGCATGCACGTCGTCATATGAGCGAAATATTCTCAAGCACGACGTAAAACCGAATTTCACCTCACCAGCAACATGACCCAGTAGAATCATTAGGATAAGACAATCAGTAACATGACCCAGTAGAATCATTACGATACGACAATTCAGTAACATGACCCAGTAGAGTCACTAGGATAGGACAATTGAGTAACATGGGCAAGTAGAGTCTATAGGATACGACAATTCAGTAACATGACCCAGTAGAACCATTAGGATAAGACAATTCAGTAACATCACCCGGTAGAATCATTAGGATACGACAATTCAGTAACATGACCCAGTAGAGTCAGTAGGATACGACAATTCAGTAACATGATCCAGTAGAATCATTAGGATAAGACAATTCAGTAACATGACCCAGTAGAGTCACTAGGATACGACAATTCAGTAACATGACCCAGTAGAATCATTAGGATAAGACAATTCAGTAACATGACCCAGCAGAATCATTAGGATACTACCATTCAGTAACATGACCCAGTAGAGTCACTAGCATACGACAATTCAGTAACATGACCCAGTAGAGTCACTAGGATACGACAATTCAGTAACATGACACAGTAGAATCACTAGGATACGACAATTCAGTAACATGACCCAGTAGAATCATTAGGATAAGACAATTCAGTAACATGACCCAGTAGAGTCACGAGCATACGACAATTCAGTAACATGACCCAGTAGAGTCACTGGGATAAGAGAATTCAGGAACATGACCAAGTAGAATCATTAGGATAAGACAATTCAGTAACATGACCCAGTAGAATCATTAGGATAGGACAATTGAGTAACATGGGCAAGTAGAGTCTATAGGATACGACAATTCAGTAACATGACCCAGTAGAATCATTAGGATAAGACAATTCAGTAACATCACCCGGTAGAATCATTAGGATACGATAATTCAGTAACATGACCCAGTAGAGTCATTAGGATACGACAATTCAGTAACATGACCCAGTAGAATCATTAGGATAAGACAATTCAGTAACATGACCCTGTAGAGTCACTAGGATACGACAATTCAGTAACATGACCCAGTAGAATCATTAGGATACGACAATTCAGTAACATGACCCAGTAGAATCATTAGGATAAGACAATTCAGTAACATGACCCAGTAGAGTCACTAGGATACGACAATTCAGTAACATGACCCAGTAGAATCATTAGGATAAGACAATTCAGTGAAATAACCCAGTAGAGTCACTAGGATACGACAATACAGTAACATGGCCCAGTAGAATCATTAGGATAAGACAATTCAGTAACATCACCCAGTAGAATCATTAGGATACCACCATTCAGTAACATGACCCAGTAGAGTCACTAGCATACGACAATTCAGTAACATGACCCAGTAGAGTCACTAGCATACGACAATTCAGTAACATGACCCAGTAGAGTCACTAGGATAAGAGAATTCAGGAACATGACCCAGTAGAATCATTAGGATACGACAATTCAGTAACATGACCCAGTAGAATCATTAGGATAAGACAATTCAGTAACATGACCCAGTAGAATCATTAGGATAAGACAATTCAGTAACATGACCCAGTAGAGTCACTAGGATACGACAATACAGTAACATGATCCAGTAGAATCATTAGGATAAGACAATTCAGTAACATGACTCAGTAGAGTCATTAGGATACGACAATTCGGTAACATGACCCAGTAGAGTCACTAGGATACGACAATTCAGTAACATGACCCAGTAGAATCATTAGGATAAGACAATTCAGTAAAATAACCCAGTAGAGTCACTAGGATACGACAATACAGTAACATGACCCAGTACAATCATTAGGATAAGACAATTCAGTAACATCACCCAGTATAATCATTAGGATACCACCATTCAGTAACATGACCCAGTAGAGTCACTAGCATACGACAATTCAGTAACATGACCCAGTAGAGTCACTAGCATACGACAATTCAGTAACATGACCCAGTAGAGTCACTAGGATACGACAATTCAGTAACATGACCCAGTAGAATCATTAGGATACGACAATTCAGTAACATGACCCAGTAGAATCATTAGGATAAGACAATTCATTAACATGGCCCAGTAGAATCATTAGAATGAGACAATTCAGTAACATGACCCCGACCGCCTCCGTGGTGTAGTGGTTAGAGCGTCCGCCCGGAGAGGGGAAGGTCGCGGGTTCGATCCCCGACCGCGTCATACCAAAAGACGTTAAAATATGGTACTTGTTGGTCCCTGCCTGGCGAT